TGTTCGGCCATTGCTTTCTCTTGTAAATTCTGACTAATGAACTTTATTATATACAAGAAGTAAACAAATAAAAAGATTCTTCAAATTGCTTTCTTCAAATATGCTATCACCCAATATACGGAGAGCGTTTATTTTGACAACTAAGCAACTATTATCATTCGAGAGGACAGCACATAGATCGCGTTTAGTCTATGGCCAAACATTAGCATGTACCATAGCTTGTTGCTAAACTTATCATTGAAGTATAACAATTCATTCACTTGGTTCATTAAAGTTAAAGATATGGAAGTATTTGTGACACAAGTAGAAAGCTACAATTGTGATAGTAGTAGAGAATTAAGCCCTTGTTTAGTTCCATGAATTTGGATTTTGGGGCTACTGTAGCACGTTCATTTTTATTTGGCAAATAGTATTCAAACATGGACTAATTAGGCTCAAAACGTTCGTCTCGTAATTTCCCACCAAACTGTGCAATTAGTTTTTCTTTTTGTCTATATTTAATGCTCCATGCACGGGCCGCAAACATTCGATGTGACAAGTACTGTAGCAACTTTTTGGAATTTAGCCTCCAACTAAACACGGGCTAAAGAGCCATCTAAAATAAACTTGTCTTATGTTTGGCCATCAACAAACACGCGCTCTCATCATAATGTGAAGTTGACAGGTGGGCCCCACGGATCTAACTCCGCCCGTGCTCCCCAGTCCCCACTTCGGCACTTCTTCCAAAACCTCAACTCGTCGGCAGAGCTCAAAATTTGAATCTCGGAGCCCTTCTTCTTCTTCTACCTCCTACGTAGACCTGGTGCATACACCAAGTGACCCTGGCGTCCGTACCCATCTACTAGTGGAGTAGTGGACTGGAACGCAACCAGTTCATGGACTGGTTCTTCGCAAATAGAAGAACGAACCCTCTCTCCAAGCCCCCGTTTCCCCTTTTTCTCTGCACCGCCGCCTCGTCTGGTCTGCTCCTCCATTCCGTTCGCCTTCGAAAACTACCCACACCACAAAGAAATCGAAGTGGGGAACAGAGGAGAGAGAGGAGGGAGATGGCGGAGGCGACGGCGTACGAGGAGCAGCGGCGGAGGCAGGTGGAGGCGAACAAGCGGAAGCTGGAGGAGCTGCAGCTCCACCACCTCTCGGCCGCCGTCAGAGAGGCCGCCGCCGCCGCCAAGCCCTCGCCGGTGTGTCCCGGTTTCCCATGATGGCCGCGTTCTTTCTTGTGTCGCTCGATGCCTTCTTTTCTGTGGGTTTACTTTATCCCAATCGGATTTTCTGCAGGTCAAGAAGCGGAAGGCGCGGGTGCCGCTTGACGCCGCCGACGCCGTGATGGAGCCACTACGGCGGTCCGGCCGAGTCGCCAACCTCCCCGACAAGCCCGTGTACCGCGAGGTTGGTGTGAAAGGGTTTCTATTCTCATTGAAATCACGAAAGATTTCAACTTTTCCCCTTACTTCCTAGAACAAATCGCGGCTTTGAAAATAATATGATCCAGGATTTCGTCTTTGATGTGTGTCTGTCTGTGCAGGAGGTTCCAGCTTTCGCGAGGAAGATTAGGAGGTACGCGCTTGGATTCCTTCTCGTCAATCAGTCAGGACTCAAGACTTGTATGTAAATCATTAATTTGGGTTTGGTTTGGTTTTGTTTGTCTTCGTTCTTGAGTGGCAGGACGTACGGGAGAAAGGATCTGGCCAACCGGGTGTACGCGACCGATGAGGCGAGGAGCTACACCATCTCTAAGGCGGAGGATCTGGTGCAGGAGCTGGACTCCAGGTTCCCCATCTTCATCAAGCCCATGACCCAGTCCCATGTCACCGGAGGCTTCTGGCTGGTAAAGTAGCGGAAGCTTCAGTTCGGCACGTCCTGCTGTTTTCGATTGTTATTCAACCCCCATGAGGTAAATTCTTGTTTGATGGGCTTGCGAAATCGCAGGGCCTCCCAAATGATTTCTGCCGGAAGCACCTGCCCAAGCGTGACGAGACGATCACCCTGGTGGATGAGGATGACGATGAGTCCGACACGCTCTACCTCGCGATGAAGAAAGGCCTCAGCGCTGGATGGAGAGGGTTCGCCATCCAGCACAAGCTGGTTGATGGAGATTGCTTGGTCTTCCAGCTGATTGAGAGGACAAAGTTCAAGGTGAGTGACATCATGTTGTTTCAGTAGCATCTCTCTTTCTTAAGGTCCAATCCTATAGTATTGTAATGCTGACCAAGCAATTTCTGTTGTGGGAATGGTGCAGGTCTACATAATTAGAGCAAGTTCTTACTATGAAAGTGAGGACTGATGAAACTAGTAGCTTGTAATGTGGTGATTGGAGCACAGGTAAAATTTGACCTTCATTGTTTGAAATGGTTGAATGAGTGTTTTATGCTTTCTATTTTTTTTTGGCAAATTCTCCCATTTCCACGTTGGGTTTGGACTTTCAGCTTTTGATCAACATACTTCAACGCATAAAGTCTCACCACCATGAATTGTGAAAATACAAGGAACTATGCTGCTTTAGTGAGATTATCTTGACTCTCAAAATAAACACATTGCAAAGCCAATATATTTTTTATGGAACAACAACCAATATATTTTGCGTGGATGGATTCCTTTTGTCCAAGCTATTTGATCAATGCCTAATAGGCATGCAAACAATGCATGAACTGAGCAAGTACTAGATGGTCTGTTGACTCTTTGAACTTGTCGATTTATTTATTGTACAATCAGATTCTTCCTACCCTTTGCCCCTTTCCTTTCCAGATACATTTCATTGATATTTGAACTCTGTGATCCACCTTTTACACAATTTCATTTCTGAACTCTGTGCTCCACCTTTTACAAAATTTTATTTCTGTACTTTTTTTTTGTAAAACGTTACTTTTTCCTGTAATTTTAGCAAGATAGCTGGTTTGTTTAGTTTTTGTCAGAAGGCATATTGCCTTAGCTGTTGTTGGAAACACTAATAGCTTGGCACAACATCTGCCTATTCATAATTTGAGTAGTCCACAGCTGAACCAAAAGAGATGTTTTTTTTAAACTAACAGTACTTCCATTGTAAGTGAGTCTCCTTGTTTGACTTTTGACTGCTTTGTAGAAATTAGTGAATATTACACAATTTTCAGAATGATGAATGCCTGTCATGATGTTAATAGGTTTCCTTTTTTCCTTTACTCAGTTATGGAGGTGGGTGCGTTGGACAAGCTCGCATCTGGAAATTTCTGGGTGTCTTGAACCTTTTGGGTGGCAGAAAGTTAGTTGATGTATACAATGTTTACGTAACCCAGTATCTACCAATTGCTAATTTGTGTACTTCTTGGGCATACCACTTGCACGGTTCAGAAACCTGCACTATGTAAGGGGATGTTGGTGGCAATTGACCTCATTTTGTAAAGGATCGATGCTCATCCTTGTTTCTCCTGGATCCATTTCATTGTTCAATCTGGCAATTGACCACCATTATTGGCTTTGTGGTGCTAATGTACAGACATATGATCTTGTCAATTGGACAAGACTAGCTATTTCTCATTGTTAGGAACTTGGTTGGTTGGCAGAGAATTGTGGAGGTCATAGGGGGAAGAGGTGAGAGGGCAAGGCGTTGCTGGAGAGGCACAGGTTGGTGGTGTTGTAGGCATAGGAGGTGACGGTGGCACAGGGAGACGGAGGGTAGGTGCTGGGGAGACTAGGAGGCAAAAGGCAGGAAATTCCTTCGGTTCTTTCTTGATTAAGCCTGATTACATTACTCTCTTTATATATATAGTCCTAATTTCTTGACTCCTAAGGCAATTAGGAATAGAGTCGTTATAGGATTTGAACTCTTTCCTTTATAACTCAAAACTACTATCTATTCATTAATTAGAGGAAGTATGTCATATCTAAACTAACCTCTTATAACTCTAGGAATCCTTAAAGATAGATACTGATTGGTTTGGAAGGACCGTTGGAAAAGGAAAGCGGCCACCCCTTGGGGCGCCCCACTTGTACTTGGCTAGGGCGGTAGTTGTCCTGGCCCTTCTATCGGTTGTCCCCAGACCGGGTAAGCCGACTTGGGCCACAGTCCCTTAGCTCAAGTCCTTGACTTGACATTCATACTATTGTGTTTTTGATAAAGTGTCATGCGGTTTGGAGTAGCCTTTCTTTGCAGTTGTAATTGTACAAGCAACACTAGTAGTGTGAAAAGGACAATTAGAGATGTACTTTCCCACAGACATGTATTCGTTGTTAAGAGGTTTTGCCACCCTTACTAAAAAAGAAGGTTTTCGATTTTTTGTGCTTCACTTTGTGGGAAATAATGCTCATAAAGAAATGTATACCTAATATTTAGGAGCAATGCATAGTTTTGCTATTCTTAGTGACAACAGCAAGTTTCAGTTTGCCTTCATCTTCAACAAACTCCATAAAAAGGACGGACTCTTATTAGGTTTTCATACTTGGCAGCTATCTTCCTAGATGTGACTAGCTCTCTCATCAACCTCTGAAGATTCATATAATGAATATTCTCCCTTTATCATCATGCTTTTCCATGTATCATCTTCAACAAACAGAAACCCAGATATGATCATGCTTTTCCATGTACCTCATCACTCAGATGATGAATATTCTCCCTTTGGTACTGAAGTAACGCCATCTGCTGATCAGAAAGACGCATCATGATATCTGGAGAGAAAAAAAATACAACAGCTGGCCAATCTCTGTGGCATTATGTTAAGAGAACTGTTCAACAATACATGCTTATGGCTGTGATACTTTGGAGCCATGTCTGCTAGACATGAGTTGAAGACCATTTTCAAATAATTCTAATGGATATATGGCTATGCAGGTTCAATACTAGCATTTTTCCACTGTCAAAAATAAGCCACAAAGTGCACAAATAAAGCATTCCTTGGGTGTGCAGAGGCAAGAGTACGTTTGGCATTTGTCAAATCCTCAAATATAGAAGCTTGTCCGATAACGTGAAAATACTCAGTATATTTGCTGTGCCTAGTGCAATTATTACCTTCGATCTTCCAAAGTACTAGATGGCTGGAGTGCAGGCCACAAAATATCAGGCTGCAAAGAGTTGTATTTGTGGATGTACCCTGCAAAAGGGAACAAAGCAGACACATCAGACACAAATCAGATATATAACAGTACATACAACTGAAAAATTAAGCGGCCATGTATTCTTGAATATAAAGATAAATACTAGGAACTCAACTCACTTATGTGTAAGTCCATAAAACATCCAGCACACGTGACTTCACCTACAATGGCAATCCAGGATTATGGCAAAAGGAGGTTTTAACTGCAATGTTCTGGAGAATACACAGAATCTCATGTGACGCGCGCAAGCTAATGTAAGCATACTATCATTAGAAGGTTTTGTTGAGTAGAGCAGGGAAAAATTATAGGAGAAGCAAAATGGGAACCCTTTATCGAGCAGGGAAAAATTATAGGACAAGCAAAATGGGAACCCTTTATCTGCCTAGAAGAAGATCCCAAGCCATAAGCACTTTGCCTCCAGTTTCCTTGTACTTGTACTTCAAGGTTTATGCTACATACATATCACAGGTCTAAATATGGCTTATGTGAACAGTCACAAGCATATAAGCTTACACAGAGCTTCTTTGAAATCAACTGAAACTTCACAATAGAAACAATAAAAATAGTGGTACTAAAACATTATTTTAAGAAATCAAAAGGCATCTCTATTTCCTTCCCTGAAGAATATGTCCACTCCTATTTATAGAGCAATACATAGAAAAATTCAAACATAGTTCACTGAAGCTAGATAAGATTGCAAGGTGCACCCTAGAAGCAGCGAAACTGATAGTATTTGAACAAGAGGTTGCCAGACCATGATTAAGAGCATCTAGTTTAAGCAAGCACCTTCATCCCCATATACTTGATCTGATTTGTTTCAAATAAAAAAAGCGAAGCAGTTTGTTGATATTTGACGGTTTGAGCTCTGCTCTGGCAATCAGTCCTGCTTCCATTGTCGGAAACGAAGTAGTAGAACTGAGTTAGGCTTATTTGCACTTGCTAGGTGCGAAGCAAGCACACTGTGGATCTCCCGAAAAACAACATTTGGGATGAGAATCAGGTTCTGAAAAGGGTATCTGAAAGGTACACTGGGGTGAGTCGATATCTTCAAGTGTACACCTGAAATATTTAATAGATCTGTTAATCGGATTTAGTTGCTTGTTCTGTTTGGATGATTGATTAAACTGCATTTGTTCTCCACGATGGCCGTCCGTTTGCTAATGGTGATCTTCACATGGGCCATGCGCTCAATAAAATCCTCAAAGATTTTGTAAATCGCTACAAAGTATTAACTGCTGTTCATATGACTGTTGATGTAGGTTAGTGTTTCAGAATCACAGCTTTGCTTATGCTTTCTTGTTTCTTCTGTACGCAGCTGCTTCATCAGAATCATAAAAGTGTCCTTTGTTCCTGGTTGGGACTGCCACGGCCTTCCAATAGAACTAGTAAAAGGCAAGTTCATTTGTACCCTTGTGTAGTGATTCAGATCAATTTAATGATTCGTTCTGTTATTTAAAGCCGGCTTTACTGTAAGAAATAATGCCCTGTTTTAATGTTGATGATGAACGGATAAGAATAAATCCTGGAATAGACAACTCTCCTCGGTACCACTTTCATGGAGGGGGAAACGCCGGAGCCTGCGGCGCCGGCAACCTTCCTCCGGGGTGAGGAGGGGGCGTCCCCGGAGTCGACGCGCGCTAGGTTAGAGCGCATGATCCGGCGCGTGCAGGCGGATGTCTGCGCGGAGCTCGAGGCGGTCGAGGGCGGCACAAGCAACGGCGGCGCGCTGTTTCGGGAGGACGCTTGGACACGCCCTGGCGGCGGCGGCGGCATTAGCCGTGTCCTCCAGGGCGGCCGCGTATTCGAGAAAGCCGCGGTGAACGTCTCTGTGGTCTATGGAGTGATGCCTCCAGAGGCATACCGCGCGGCGAGACCCGAAGCCGCGGCGGCGGCGGCGGCGGCTGGAGGGGAGAAGGCCGGGCCAGTGCCCTTCTTTGCGGCTGGTATAAGCTCGGTAAGTAAGATTCCTGCTCGCAGCATTATCTCAAACCGATAGCGTGCTCAAAGTTTGCATTTTCCAGCAATTTGCTGTGTCACCCATGTAATCTTTAAAATGTTCATAAATTCAGTACAAGCACCATCCAAGTTAAGAAAATTTCTTGCTTTGGAAAAATTTGGAGAAAACAAATGTGCGATTTCTCTTTTGAAATTCAATACTAGGTTATTGTTTTGCTTGTCAGGTCATCCATCCCGTGAACCCATTTGCTCCAACAATGCATTTCAACTACCGGTATTTCGAAACAGAAGCACCTAAAGGTACTACATGTGATGACAATTGAAATCAACTAAATTGTTACATTTCCTGAACTTAGCGCAGTATCGTATACTATTGTGGATGATGCACCATTCTTTGCAGATGCTCCTGGTGCACCTAGGCAGTGGTGGTTTGGAGGTGGTACTGACCTGACGCCTTCGTATATCATTGAAGAGGATGTCAAGCACTTCCATTCTGTATGTCAATACTTTATTCTCCACTTGTTTAGAACATAAATATAGATCTAGTTATGTCTATGCTTTAATTTGGCCAAAATCAGCTTGTGCAAGGCTGTTGTGTTGGCATTTGTTAAGTTGCTGTATGTTTGGTGCATAACTTATTTGTGCTTTATTGGATCCTTTCAGGTTCAGAAACAAGTGTGTGATAACTATGATCCTAGCTTTTACCCTAGATTCAAAAAGTGGTGTGATGACTATTTTTTTATCAAGGTTAGTTTGTCCAGCTGTTTGTTTGATGCTACTGATTCTTGTGATTTTTTTTATAATTTTTCATATTTTGTAGCTCTCACTGACACATGGCAGACCTCATGGTGGACTTGATTCACTCATCTGAAAAAAATGCTATTATGCTTGGTCTTCTTATTGAATATTGGCCAATAGTTATCATGTATCGGCCTGTTCGGCAGGACTGAAAAATACTGTTCTAGCTGATTGTTGTGAGAGGAAAATACTGTTCTGGCAGGACGTGAACAGTGATTCTGTGAGGTGGCTGACCAGCCGGCAACCAGCCAGCCAGCCAGCCGAACACGCTATATGTCTGTTCGAGAACAAGTCATGAAGATGATTATTTGTCTTTGACTGCAGCATCGTGGTGAACGACGTGGGGTGGGAGGAATATTTTTTGACGATCTCAATGACTATGATCAAGAAACACTTCTTCGCTTTGCCACAGGTGTCATAACTCATACCATCTCTTGTAGTATTGTTGATTGAAGGGGATCTTGATATAAATTCATCACTTGAGTGCATGGCAATCATCACTTCTAACTGCTGATCGAAGTTGCGCCTGTTGAGTTGCCTTTCTTTCATCTCCGCAGATTGCGCAGACTCAGTTCTTCCTGCATATATACCCATCATAGAACGCCGTAAGGACACTCTATTTACTGAGGAGCACAAAGCATGGCAACAGCTACGTAGAGGACGCTATGTGGAGTTTAACCTTGTGAGTGCCTTTACATTCAGAGGATTTTATTCTTGGTGTTTTCAACTCTTCTGTGCCTCTTACACTTGCTTTTCATGAAGGTTTATGATCGAGGAACCACATTTGGGCTCAAGACTGGTGTGTGTGTGTGTGTGGGGGGGGGGGCTTGTGTTAAGAGTATCCTTGTTTCTCTTCCTCTTACCGCACGGTGGGAGTATGATCATGTAAGCTGAGAAGCTATCTTACCGCGTGGGAGAGAGGGGAAGTGGCGTGGGCGATGCGGCTATGCCGGGTGGTGAAGCTGGGCCGCGCTGAGTAGGGAGACAGAGCAGGCCGCGGCGGGAGACGACGGCAGCTGGGCCGCTGCGGAAGAGATGGGAGCGGGAACGGGCCGACTGGCCTGCGAGAGGAAAGCAGGGGCAGGCCGGCGGGCCGAATGGAGAGAGAGGGTGAGTTTTTTTTTTTACTTTTCTTTTCTTTTATTTCAAAACCAGCTTGAATCATTTTCAAAAACACTTTGAAACGTTTTGAATTTAGACCAAAACCACTCATTACAAAAATACAAATGCACCGGCATGAATGCACCACAATGTTGCTTAGCCTTGTATTTGATTTTAATTTTAACAAAGTTTTTTTTTTCTAAGTTTCAAATGCTCACAAAAATGAATAAATAAATTATTTTAAGCTATTTTAAAAACATGCAAATTTTAGGGTGTTACAGTAGACTGCGATACAATTGATGGCCGAGGAAGCCGGGGCAGATGAAAGCTGTCTCGTTTTGAGTTTCAGCCTACCCGACCGCTCTTGACCGGCGCTTGTGCCTGTCGGCTGTCGCTCGCCGACCACGTGTCACCTCGGTTGCTGTGCAAATGACACCATCGCGGGAACCGTTTCTGTTTGCAATGCCATAGAGTCCCTGCTCGCTTGTCTTATGAGTCATACTATTGCAGCAAAGGAATAGTATTTTTCTCTTATAATAAATCAGTGAACATTACTTTCAGCCATAACTTTTCAGCGAAGCAAACAGGACCTAGTTTTCGAAATTTCGTGGAAGCCGGAGTAGCCGATGGTGTTTAAATTCATGGAGTAAAGTTTAGAAATATCACATTGGGTGTTATATCGAGATGTCACATGAGAGTATTCGGATAGTAATAATAAAACAAATTACAGAAATCCTCAGTAATCCGCGAGACGAATTTATTAAGTCTAATCAATCCGTCATTAGCACATATTTACCGTAGCACCACATTATCAAATCATGAACTAATTATGCTTAACAAATTCGTCTCGCAAATTAGTCATAATCTATGCAATTAGTTATTTTTAGTCTATATTTAATACTTCATACATGTGTCTAAATATTCGATGTGATAGGAAGTGTTAGATTGTAAACGTGACACGGCCCATGGGCCTGCCGTATCCGGCTCCCCATCGTGCCTATATGTACACAACACAGGTCCCTAAGTAATACATCGCGTATTCCATAATTCCTATTACGCTTTCATGGTATCCGAGACGGTTCGCTCCCGCGGCCACTTTCGCAAACCCTAGCCGCTGCTGACTACATCGCCGGCTCCCACAACCCCTACGCCGCTGCTGACCTCACGTCGCCGGCCCTTCCATTGCCTGTTGCTGAGATCCTCGCCGGGCCACCTTCCTGCCGTTGCCTGCTGCTGATCCATCGCCAGGCATCTGTTGCTGCTACTGATGGCGCCCAGCGATGACGATGCCGCCGCTGCTGTTGCTCGTGCCACTGAGGCCAAGCGCCTCGCGGACGAGGCCCGTGCCGCTCGCGACCAGGCGCTCGCTGACAAGGAAGCCGCCAATGCTACCCTGCACACGCAGGCCATCGCCATCATCAACATCAAGATCCTCATTCCCGTGACCCTGGAGAAGCCGACCAACAACTATGGCCGCTGGCGCTCCCTCTTCCTCATCGTCCTCGGCAAGTACAATCTCAAGGATCACGTGCTCTCCGACGACTCCTACCCCGAGCGCTCCGCATGGTCGACCATGGACTGCTGCGTCCTCACTTGGGTCTACGGCACCGTGTCCAACGATCTGCAGCAATCGTTGATGATTTGGGATCCCAACGCTCGCACTGCCTGGCTCTACCTTGAGGATGAATTCCTCGGGCAGCGTGAGTCTCACGCCCTACTGCTGGAGGCTGAATTCCGCTCCTTCAAGCAGGGCGCCCTCTCCATCATGGACTACTATCGCCGCCTTGAGACGATGGCCGCCTCCCTCGCCGAGTTCGGTGATCCGATCGGTAATCGGCAACTCGTCCTTACCCTCTTCCGTGGCCTCAACGACAAATTTCGCCACATGGCGTCGAATATGAAGATGCAGCGGCCCTTCCCCACGTTCGACGGGGCAAGCACGCTGCTGCTCCTCGAGGAGATCGAACTCAATGACATCACTGCCGACGACACTCATGCCACACCGCCGGTGCCACCGGCCCTGGTCGCTGCACCAACGCCACCTCCGCAGCGCCCTCCTACACCGGCCCCCGCTGGTTCCGGCGCTCCTGCTGGATTGCACAACTAGCGCCACCGTGGACGCGGCAGCAAGTCTGGTGGCGGCTCTGGTGGACCTCGACATAGTGGTGGCGCACCATCTGGCTCAGGCACGGGTCACACCAATCCTTGGTCTGGTACTGTGCAGCTGTGGCCGCACGGTTACAGTGGTCTACCTGGCCACATGCTGTGTCCTCCGTCCACGCCGTACGACCACCCCCAGCCTGCATTCAACATGCTGCCCTACTACCCGGCGATGGCCCCAGGGTTCACACCGCCACCTCCAGGCTTCACGTACGGAGGCGTAGCTCCCACGTTCGCCCCGTCTTCGGCGTCCTCGTCGGGTACACCACCTCTACCTCTCCCATGGAACCCCATGTCTGGTGGATCTTGGGAGCAGGCGTCACTCGTCAATAACTTCAACACGATGTCCCTGACGCCGCCTACCAACCCCGCCGAGTGGTATGCTGATTCTGGTGCCGGTTCTCACACGACCGCCCACTCTGGTATTATCTCTTCTCCTCGGCCTCCCTCCTTGTCTGGTCCTTCATCCATCGTTGTCGATAATGGTGCCTTGCTGCCCGTTACTTCTATTGGTTCATTCTCTTTTCCTACACCGCGTCGTCCACTTGTTCTAAATAATGTTTTAGTTTCACCTAGCATTATTAAGAACTTAATTTCAATACGCTGGCTCACCACTGATAATAATTGTTCTATAGAGTTTGATCCTTTTGGCCTTTCTATGAAGGACCTTCAAACACGGAGTGTGATCGCCAGGTGCAATAGCACGGGTGACCTCTACCCGTTCTTCCCACCCACCAGCAGCATACCCACACTTGCAGCTCCTACCTCCACCTCAACCCTATGGCATCGTCGCCTCGGTCATATCGGCTCCGAAGCTCTGTCCCAGCTTATTACCTCTCATGCTATTCCATGTAATAAACCCAAACATGATCACATATGTCATGCTTGCCAATTAGGCCGTCATGTTCGTCTTCCTTTTGGGACATCTTCCTCTCGAGCTGTCAACAAATTTGATTTAATACATTGTGATCTTTGGACATCCCCTGTCGCTAGTGTGTCGGGTTACAAATATTATCTCGTTATTGTCGATGATTGCTCCCACTATGCTTGGACATTTCCGCTTCGTCTTAAATCCGATACTTTTGCCACCCTCTCTAACTTTTTTGCCTATGTGCGCACGCAGATTGGCACTCCTGTCAAGGCCGTCTAGTGCGACAATGGCCGTGAGTTCGATCACTCCTCGGTCCGCACGTTCTTCCTCTCATAGGGTGACGTCCTTCGCATGTCGTGCCCATACACCTCTCAGCAAAACGATAAAGCCGAGCGCGCTCTTCGTACCATTAATAATATTGTGCGCTCTCTTCTTTTTCAGTCCGGCCTTCCACCGGTCTATTGGGCTGACTCCCTACTTACTGCCACCTATCTCCTTAACCGTCATCCCACTACGACCCTCAGCGGCCTCACACCATTTTTTGCTCTCTACGGTACTCATCCTTCCTACACTCATCTTCGAGTTTTCGGATGTGCCTGTTATCCCAACTTGTCCTCCACCGCTCCACACAAACTATCACCTCGTTCCTCCTTGTGTGTGTTCCTTGGTTACTCTTCCGATCACAAGGGTTATCGATGTCTCGACCTCCATTCCAACAGGATCATCATCTCTCGTCATGTAGTTTTTGATGAGTCCATGTTCCCCTTTTCTGAGATGTCGACCTCACCCTCGGATCCCATCGCTTTGGATTTTTTGAATGACGATGATATTTCCACTGTGCCCATCGGGCCAAGTGCTGTGGTTCCAGGTACTCCTCCCGGCACTCCCGCCGCACCTCAGTCACCTGTGCCCAGTGCCCCTGCATTGGCACCTAGGGCGTCTGGTGCCCACTCGCCGGCGGCTAGCTCGCTGCCCTCTAGCTTGGGCGATACTGCTACTGCTGCGCCCAGCACGTCACCCGCCATCGAACTAGGCTCTGTCTCGGGTCCTGCTGGCGCTCCCTCGGCGTTCGGCTCTGCTGCCCCTGCGGATGTTCAGTCCCAGGCTGCTGCTAGTAGAGCTGGCCGCACTGCTGCTACACAGCCTCAGTCCATTGTGCCTGTGGTGAACGATCACAGCATGCGGACTCGAGGCAAGTCTGGTTTTATTCAGCCAGTGGATCGCCTGAACCTTCACACGACGCCCCTCTCACCCCTGCTGAAGACCTTTCGCTCCGCCTTAGCTGATCCCAACTGGCGAGCAGCGATGCAGGCCGAGTTTG